TTTTTTTTTTTTTTTTTTTTTCGCTTATGCTCTCATCAATCGATTTTCTCTTCCGAAGCAATGTGTATAAGAAACTTCACAGCCGCGAGAAAAATTCGAACGAATCTCAGGATAAATGAGCACACCGTGATTGTTAATAAGAGTAACGTTTAATACTTGACGACAAAAAGAATATTACACATGGAGCCGAATGTGTGCGGGTTGTTTGCTTTTCGGAGCTTGAATTTTTGTTTGCTTCCGTGTTTTCAAGATAAACTTATATCTGATTACGAATCATAAACAGGCCTTTTATCGCTGTTTTATAAGCGTGTCTTTTTGATCGGCAAAATACGTTTGAACTTATAACCGTTGAGGTAACGAATAATATTTTCAATAATATATTTCTTACAAATACCGGCCGGCGCGTAATCTCAGTCTTCGACTTCAGCGCGTGTTTTCCTCGTCGACCACACCGCTTACTTTCGCACAGGAGAGAGAGAGAAAGAGAGAAAGAGAGAGCAAGATACTTGTAAAGTGCCATCATAAACTCGGTTCTTTGCGCAATCGCGTTAATGATGTTTTCTTCAGCCTGGTTAACGAGATCAATTTGTCGTGCGCGCGCGCGCGCGCGCGTGTTTGTGTGTGTCTAGTTGTGTTTATTCCACCGTTATTCCACAGTACGTAAATGTGTGTCAGATTCTCTGTTTGTGAAATATCCGTTTAATAAATTTATGGATCTTTGAAAAGTGCAAGAGTCGATTCTTGCAAATCATCATCATTTTGTACGACAAGAACTCCTTCGAAGAAACAAGAGGCCTCTTTACACACCGAGCACACGTTTCTCTCGTCTCTTCTTCTCTCTTGCCACGCAAGAGATGTATGTAAGTACGTCTCTCGTCGCGACGCTCATTATTCATTATATTCCGCGTATACATATAAGAAAGCGCGTTTCAAAGAACAACGATGATGACGGACGACGGGATGTTGCTCAACACATCATTGCGGCTCGGAAACCAATATCACGCGGTTTCCTTGTGCTAAATGCAACAGTACACGTAATTTCTTTATTATACGTGATATTCCGCGTAGGTGAAGCCCCGCACGTAATGTGCCGCTACAATATCGCGCGCACGTATACCGCCTGCGCAACCGTTCTGTCGCGCGATCGCTTCAAACGGGATAATCTCGCGGAGAATGCACGTAGGAATATTCTGTATACTGAAATTTCGAACGGCAAAGCCTACCCGTCGTGCCTACGTGTGTGAATGTTCCCTACACACGCGTGATTCTCATCGTTTTCCCCGTCGCCATTGTCCGCGGCCACTCTCCGCTTCTTCTTTCGCTATATGTGTGTGTGCGCGCGCGTGTATGTGCGCGCATATCGAAGAGCATCGTGCAGAAAAGAGAAATAATACGACGACCGTGCGTCTACTTCCTCCCGCAACCGACACGAGAAAAATCTCCAGGGAATAAAGTCGCTCACCGAGAAGAGAGAAGAAACGCGCTCCCACACTCGTCGTCGTTCGATAAACTCGCATAGTTACGCACACACACACACGCACGCACGCACGCACGCACACTCGCGCAAGTACAACACGTAAACACTTCGATACGTAGCAGGTGTTTACCACCATATGTTGCTACCGCTAAATATTGAATGCGGATGTGGATGCGCATGTGGATGCGCATGTCTATAATACAAAAACTCTGTACAGAGTGTTCGTGAAATAAATAATGCAATTTGAAGGACACAGGAACATTCATGTGCGTGGTATAAGAGACGATTCATTGTTCGAAAACTGTGCGCGGTTATTTTTTGTAATTTAAAAATTAAATTTTTATCTTTGCAGACTGATACGGGTCTTCCAGACCCGTCCGAAAAATTTCAAACCGGTGTCCAGTTGAAATTGATTTTTTTCTAACGCTTACACGTTTGTCCGGAAAGTTCCCGGACTGATTTTTTCTAGCGCGGGTAAGCGGCGCTATCGAGCGGTCAACGCTGGAACTACTTAGTATAGACCTTC